GTGGGTATGCTGCTGCTGCTGGTGGTGGTGGTGGTGATGGTGGGTATGCTGCTGCTGATGGTGGTGGTGATGGTGGGTATGCTGCTGCTGCTGATGGTGGTGATGATGATGGTGGTTATACTGATGGTGGTGGTGATGGTGATGGTGGGTATGCTGCTGCTGCTGGTGGTGGTGGTGGTGATGGTGGGTATGCTGCTGCTGATGGTGGTGGTGATGGTGATGGTGGGTATGCTGCTGCTGCTGGTGGTGGTGGTGGTGATGGTGGGTATGCTGCTGCTGCTGCTGATGGTGGTGGTGGTGATGGTGGGTATGCTGCTGCTGATGGTGGTGATGATGATGGTGGTTATACTGATGGTGGTGGTGGTGGTGATGGTGGTTATACTGATGATGGTCATGGTGAAGAGGCAGTGATCATAATGATGGTGCTGGTGGCAGTGATGGTGATAATGATGATGATGGTGCTAAGGGTGACCATGGTGGTGATGGTCACACTGACGGTGATGGTGACAGTGATGGTGGTAGTGGTGGTCATCATGATGGCAATGGCGGTGTTAAAGGTGATCACGATGGTGATGACCGTGAAGGAGGGTCACGGCGATGAGGCAATGATGGTAATGACGATGACGCTGGTGACTGTGGTGGTAAAGATGACCATGGTACTGATGATGGTGATGATGGTCGTGACAGTGATGAAGCTTCACGTGAGCAGAAACCGGGCCTTGTTCGTAGATGTAAGCTCAGTTTCTAGGACAGAGGCTGATGCAGAGTACACACTCAGTAACAAATGCCTTTTGAATGAAAGAGTGCGTCATGATCAGCATGGCTCATGTTTACTGGGCAGTTCCTGTGTGTCAGGCTCTGTTTTAAGGGCTTTGCATGGATGATGATGTCATCTTGTCTTAACGGGTGCCTGCGAGGAGGGTACTGTTACCACAGCTCAGCAGATGAGGAGCTGAGCTTCGCAGCCCAGATTCCTGAGTTTGAGTCCTTGCTGGGACTGAACATGAGCCAGTTACTTAACCTCTGGGTCTGAGCTTCTCCAGCTATAAACAAGGGATAGTAATAGTACACCTACCTCATGGGGTCGCTGTAATGATTGAATACGTTAGTACCAAGACAGTGCTTATGACGGCTCTTGAGAAGCACCTGTCAAGTGAGAGCAATTACTGTGTTTATCCCCATTCTGCAGGTCTGGGCACTGAGGCACAGAGAGGTTTGGTCGTGTGCCCCAGGTCACTAAGGGAACGGGTGGTGGGACATGCTTGGCACTCAGGGCCCTTGCTCTTAAGAAAATATTCCAGTCCGGGTGCGGTGCTCATGCCTATAATCCCAGCACTTTGGGAGGCCGAGGCAGGTGGATCACAAGGTTAGGGGTTCGAGACCAGCCTGGCCGAGAGGTGAAACTCCATCTTACTAAAAATACAAAAATAAGTCGGTCGTGGTGGCAGGCGCTTGTGATCTCAGCTACTTGGGAGGCTGAGGTGGCAGAATTGCTTGAACCCAGGAGGCAGAGGTTGCAGTGAGCTGAGATTGCACCACTGTACTCTAGCCTGGGTGACAGAGCAAGGCTCTGTTTAATAAAAAAAAAATCCAGCTGGGCACAGTGGCTCATGTCTGTAATCCCAGCACTTTAGGAGGGCGAGATGGGAGGATGGCTTGAGCCTGGGAGTTCCAGACCAGAAACATAGTGAGACCCCCCCCCCAACTTTATTTTAAAAAAAAGGAAAGTAAGAAAAAATAAAATATTCCACGGCTGTGTCAGACTGACCTGGGTTCAAGTCCCGGCTGTGGAAGTCTGGCAGTTTCCCTCCCTCCTCTGAGTCTCAGCTTTTTTCACCTGTAAAGTGGGGAGAGCAGTAGTGCCTGCCACACGGGGTTGTGAGGATTCAAAGAGTTAGTGCAGATAAGGACAGGGCGGCACGTAGGGTGTGCGCAATTAACGACCGTGCGTGCGACCACGCCGCCTGTGCTTTTCTGTGCCGACACCGCATGGGCCCTTCCTAAACTACATCCAGTCCTCACCATAGCCCTTTGAGGGAGGAGCTTTGATCTCCGTTTCAGAAAGGACTCTGAGGATCAGAGAGGGCAGGCCCCTTGCCTAAGGCCACACAGCAGAGCCAGGGACTCAAACCCAGTATACTGTGATGTGAATTTCTGTGCTTTGACCACGGCCCAGGTTTCTGGATTAGGGCTTCCATGACAGCCCCACTCCAAGCGACCTTGGGTGGGCTCCTTCCCATCTCTGTGCCTCAGCTTGCTGGTGTGTAAACTGGGGGCCATCTTAGAAGACCCCCCTACTCTGATTCTGGCTCTTGCAGCCTCAAGCAGGAAACCATTTCCTCCTCCTCCTCTCTCCACTCCAGAGCCGGCTCAAAGGTCATGGAAGGTGATGGAGGCTGGCGCCCCCGCAGTCCTGCAAAGGCCAGCAGGGTCCAGTTACTTGTTTTGGTGGGGGCGGGTAATGTCTGGGGGTCTGCTCCCGCCAGCGGGCGAAGGAGCATGCTGAGAATTCTGTTCCCCAGATCTCATTAAGCCCTGAGACCTAAATAACTGCCGACTGGTTCCCTGGGGAGGCTGAGGGGGGGCTTCTGCCCTTGGTAGTCAGGGGGTCACGGGGCAGCACCCCAATATGGAAGGAAATGGCTCCTTTTCTGTCCAGGTCGGGGCAGGTGAGCCCTGGCTCTGGGCCATCCCCCCACCAAAAGTAGCAGGGGGCCCAGCCTGGGGTTAGGGCTCCTCTCAGCAGGCCAGAGGTGGAGGGGGGCTGTCGGACACTCTGGCCCTAGGCCCTTCCGCTCCCTGCCGCCTTCTGCCAGCTCTGTAGAAGGGAGTGCTTAATTACCCAGTCACTCTATCCCTTCTTGGCCAGGCAGCTAAGCCCAAACATCTGGCCCCAGGGCCCACGGCCAGAATGGGTGGTCAGCCCCCGCCCACTGCTGGCCCTGGCTCCGGACACGTCCCACGGGACAGCTGAGCTCGATCCTCTGCCTGCCAGCTTGCCACCAGCCCAGAACAGTAGCTGCATAGGCCCTGCGAGCTCAATCGATACAGAAAAAAAGACATGTGATGAAATTCAGCAGCCATTCACCGTATACACACACAGAGAGCAAAGTTAGAGCAGAGAGGACTTCCTTCCTCAGACAAGGGTATGAAGGAAGACCTACCTGTCGTTATTATCATGGGCAGTGGATGTGGCCTCCTAGGAGCGTTGATATAGGAGGCCTGGAAGAACGCAGCAGGTAAGTGGTTTGGGAGTAAGAGTCTGGCCTGATGCTGGATCAGTTCTCCAAAGCCACGTTCTCACATTCCCTGCACCTCAGATGTGACCCACAGACCTGCAGCATCAGCCTCACATGGAAGCTGTTTCCAAATAAGGAGTCACTATGTATGGAAGCTACAGCCTTACAAAATGTATTTTTTTTTTTTTTTTTTTTGAGATGGAGTTTCAATCTTGTTGCTCAGGCTGGAGTGCAATGGCACAATCTGGGCTCACTGCAACTTCCACCTCCTGGGTTCAAGCAATTCTCCTGCCTCAGCCTCCCGAGTAGCTGGGATTATAGGCATGCGCCACCACACCTGGCTAATCTTGTATTTTTAGTAGAGATGGAGTTTCTCCATGTTGGTCAGGCTGGTCTCAAACTCCCGTCCTCAAGTGATCCGCCTGCCTCACCTCCCGGTGTTGAGATTACAGGCATGAGCCACTGCGCCCAGCCACAAAATTTATTTCTTAAACAATAATACTTGAAAGCAAAAATTACTAAGGCCAGGTGTGGTGGCTCACGCCTGTAATAATAGCACTTTGGGAGGCCAAGGCAGGTGGATCACCTGAGTTCGGGAGTTCAAGACTAGCCTGGCCAACATGGTGAAACCCCGTCTCTACTAAAAATGCAAAAATTAGCCCAGTGTGGTGGCAGGTGCCTGTAGTCCCAGCTACTTTGGAGGTTGAGGCAGGAGAATTGCTTGAACCAGGAGGCGGAGGTTGTGATGAGCTGAGATTGCACCATTGCACTCCAGCCTGGGTGACAAGAGCAAAATTCTGTCTCAAAAAAAGAGAAGAAAGAGGAGGAGGAGAAGGAAGAAAGAAGATAAAAGAAAAGAAAAGAAAAAGGAGATAGTACAAATTTCCCTAAACTAGTTTCCCAGGCTGGTCTCAAACTCCTCGCCTCAAGCGCTCTTCCCACCTCAGCCTCCTCATGGGATTCAAAGCACGAGCCACCGCACCTGGCCCGTGCCTTTATATTCTGTCGCACATGCGCCTGCTCTCTAATGCAGTGTCCAGGTCTCACACTGGTCTCACTCTCACACCCGTCCTCACACATCTGCACCCGAACTCAATCTGAAACATTTATGTTCGCCCCCACAGACAGCTCACTCTCACGCTCACACACTCAGTCATCTGCACACACACCCCCACCCACACCCACACACTCACCCACACCGCCATGCCCCCAAGCCCCTCCTCCCGCCGACCACACCATGACATCCATGCAGGCTAGCAGCAGGGACCAAGGCCGGGAGTCCAGCTGGGTTCGACTACCGGCCTTGCCCCTCCCCCAGCGGGCGCAGCAGGAACCTGGCTGCCCTGCACATGAGATGGGCAGAGCCCAGGGACCCCCTCACCACCTTGGAGACAGGTCGGGAAGCAGATGTTGCCTTCGAGCTGCCTGATTGGGGTCCAGACTCTTGACTAGCACTAAGTATTACTTAGTTAGTGTCGTCCCTGCCAGCCTGTCAGGGTCAGGCCCATCCTGGGAATTTTCTGTCCTCCCATATGTTCCGCCCAAGACAGGCCGGGTCATTATCACCTTCCAGTTAATCCTCAGCTGCCACCAGCAATCAACACCCCCCCACCACTGTGCCCCCTGCCCGGGCTCCACTCCCTCCCACCCAGCACGTGGCATCCCAGCCACCTCCAGATTTTTGGGACGCATTCTTGGCCTAACAGCTTGGCTGTTTGAGATTCACAGATGAAGGGGGGCAAGAGGCCTTGATATACCCACCTCCGTTCACTCCCTTCTTCTCTCCAACGATTCCTACTCCAGGAAGCACACTCAGATCGTCCAGGTCAGAGGCTCCAAGGCTTCGGCTTAAACCTGGATTCAAAGGCTCCTTGGGGTCCCTCCACAGGAGCACACCTGCTGTCAGCCCCACTCTGGGCAACACCTCGGTGGCCTCAGCAGGGGCCCTGCGGGGTGTACAGGGGCCAGGGAGTGTGTGACACACGATCCAGCCCTGAGTTGTAGCCTCGCTCTGGGCCTGAGGCCAAGGAGGGCACGGAGAGGAAGAGGGAGTGTTTGCAAACAGGGCAGCTGCCAGGCAGGGGCAGGGAGAGAGGAAGAAGGTGCGAAGGAGGGAGGCTCAGGTGGTGCCCGCGTGACCTTCCCAGCCTGGCCACACATTGACAGGCGTGTGCACACACACACCGATCCGACATCCACACACAGTGAGGCACATTCACCCCATACACACAAGGACGTCAGCACACACAAGCTCACGTGCTCGTGGACACACAACAGGCACAAAGCTGTGTTATCGTCCACACGTGGCGAGGCTCAGGCAGCACCAGCTCCGTCATCCTCACCCTTCCGTCTCTCTCTCCCTTCCTCTGTCTACTGTCTACATCTCTGCCTGTCCTTCTCTCTCCCCCATGGTTTCTCTCTTCCTCTATTTCCATCTCTCCGTTTTCTCTCCCGTTTGTCTCTCTCCACCTCTGCACCCCATCCTCCCTCCTTTACATGCGTGTGCACTCACACACATGCACACACTCATGCACTCACTGGCACACACTCATGCTCACATGTGCACACACTCATGCTCACACACACATGTGCACAAACTCATGCACACACTCATGCTCACACATGACATTCACACCTGCAAACAGATGCACACACGCGTATAGTTCCTTGATGGAAGCTTTGAGGACGGTATTTTTCATTCCATTGTTAGCACACAAACTGGTTTGGTAAAGGAAGGGATTCTTAGAAGCAAGTGGCTCACTCCCTCCTGCCCACAGCTCTGCCTCAGGACCCCCTGCCGGGAGGCTCAGGCAGCAGCAGGTCATCCTTGCCCCTCTGTCTCTCCCTGTCTTTCTCCCCCTCCGTCTGTTTCTCCTTCTCTGTGTCTCTTTCTCTCATCCTCCGTTTCTTCCTGTGTCTGTTTCTCTATCTCCATCTCTCCTTTTTCTCTCCTGCATGTTTCTCTATGTGTATCTCTGTCTCTCTCCATCTCTCCCTGCTCTCTGTGTCTGCACCCCACGCTCTCACCTCTGCACGCCCTCTGATGTGCACCCCCCTTCTCATTCCCCAGTGGACAGACTCGCAGCAGCACTGGGATGGGAGTGCCAGATGAAGTTTATTTGCCGAGCCGCTGGGGCGAAAGAAGGCAAGCACATCACAGAGGGTGGTGCCAGGTGGGAGGGAGACCCGGCTGGAGAGTAGGGAGAGGACGTCAGGAGGACAGGGACAGAGAGGAGGCCCTGCCACACCACACTGGCTCGTTTATTTCATAGACATTTCCTGACACCTGCTGCAGGCCATCGCTGAGTACATGGGTCCGTCAGCAAATGGGATGGGCAAAGACCCCTGACTGCAGGAGCTCACAAAATAACCACAAAAAATAAGCCATGCAGTGAGAAGAGGACACACGTCCTAGAGAACAGTACCGTGGGGGATGGGGGGGCAGACAGTAAGCATTTGGTGCATAGCTGATATCCCAGCACTGTGGGAGGCTGAGGCTGGAGAATTGCTTGAGGCCAGGAGTTTGAGATTAGCCTGAGCAACATAGCAAGACCCCCATCTCTATTAAAAAAAATGTTTTGATTAGCTGAGCATGGTGGTGCAGCCCTGTAATCCCAGCTACTCCAGAGGCTGAGGCAGAAGGATTGCCTGAACCCAGGGGGCAGAGGTTGCAGTGAGCCGAGATCGCGCCATTGAACTCCAGCCTGGGTAACAAGAGCGAAACTCCGTCTCAAAAATAAAATAAAATAAAAAAGTTTAAAAAATTAGCCGAGCGTGTTGGCGCATGCCTGTAATCCCGGCTACTCAGGAGGCTGAGGCAGGAGGATTGCTGGAGCTGTGGATTTCGAGGCTGCAGTGAGCTGAGATCAAGTCACTGCAGTCCAGCCTGGGAGAGCAAGACCCTGTCTCAAAAAAAATAAAAGTGCAGGGCGTGAGGGGATGAGTCCCGAGCAAACACCAAGTGCAGAGGCCCTGGGAAGGTGGAGGCAGGGACGGAGGGGCGCACGGAGGTCTGAGGCCCCCCCGGGGAAGGTGGCGGCAGGGACGGAGGGGCGCACGGAGGTCTGAGGCCCCCCCCCCCGGGGAAGGTGGCGGCAGGGACGGAGGGGCGCACGGAGGTCTGAGGCCCCCCCGGGGAAGGTGGCGGCAGGGACGGAGGGGCGCACGGAGGTCTGAGGCCCCCCCGGGGAAGGTGGCGGCAGGGACGGAGGAGCGCACAGATGTCTGAGGCCCCCGTGGACCAAGGCAGGGAAGCAGCCTGCAGAGAGGAGATAGGAGGACGCGGAGGGGAATCCCAAGCCACAGGGATGAAAACACAGAGGAGAAACCAAGAGCCGCCAAGTGACAGCCTGGAGGCCGCGGGCGGGGCGGCTTCCCTCTCTGCCAGCCCCAGGCCCGCTCACTGCCCGGCCTCCTCTTCCACCTCTCCCACTTCTTCAGCCTCGCCCTCCCGCTGCCTCCAGGGGCGCCCCAGGTGCTCCCTGATGGTGCTCACGGCGCTCCTCCTTCGGGGGTGAGGGTCCAGCAGCCCCCATAGAAGCGCGTCGGCCGCGGGGGCCAGGCCGAACCAGGGCTGAGGACGGTCCTGCGGCTGGCCCGAGGCCTGCCAGATGAGGAAGTCCTCGTAGAAGGGGTCGGCCTCGGCCAGGGGCTGGTCCCAGGGGAAGTAGCCGGTGAGGAGGCAGAAGACCAGGACCCCCAGCGCCCAGGCGTCCAGAGCCGGCTGAATGGGCAGGCCCTCGGGGAGGGGCGGGGGCGCGCAGAGCTCGGGGGCCGTGTAGGGGATGGGCGGCCCGGTCAGGCGCAGCAGCGTCCCGCGAGGCCTGGTGTGACCGAAGTCGGTCAGCTTGAAGCGCCGGCAGTCGGGGTCGCACACCAGCACGTTCTCCGGCTTCAGGTCCCGGTACACCAGGCCGCGCGCGTGGATGTACTCCAGGGCGGAGGCCAGCTGGGCGGCGCAGCGGTGCACTGCGGGCTGCGGGAGGCCCACCTGCGGGGAGAGGGGCGGGGCCGGTGTCCCAGGACAGGAGGCACCTGAGACTGAGGCCCACCTGCGGGGAGAGGGGCGGGGCCGGTGCCCCAGGACAGGAGGCACCTGAGACTGAGGCCCACCTGCGGGGAGAGGGGCGGGGCCGGTGCCCCAGGACAGGAGGCACCTGAGACTGAGGCCCACCTGCGGGGAGAGGGGCGGGGCCGGTGCCCCAGGACAGGAGGCACCTGAGACTGAGGCCCACCTGCGGAGAGGGGCGGGACCAGTGCCCCAGGACACGGGATGCATCTGACTGGGCTGCAGGATTCCCATCTGCTGGGAGAGGGGCGGGCCCAGTGCCTGGAGGCCAATGGAGGCAACCCAGACCACAGGGCCCGTCCTCCGCCTGGGAAGCAGGCCCGGACACTAAGGTGGGCGGTAAGGAAGGTTGTGAACTGTTGGCCCCGTGAGGCCAAGTATGTGTGAGGCCTGTGGGTTTAGGGGGCCTAGGGTGACCCCATGGAGCCTGTGGGTTTAGTGGGGCCTAAGGTGACCTGTGAGTCCTGTGAGTTTATTGGGGCCTAGTGTGATCCCCATGAGACTTGTAGGGCTGGTGGGTTAAGCGGGGCCTGGGGTGACCCCATAGGGCCTGTGACTTGATTGGGGTCCAGTGTGACCTGATGCTGCCTGGTGAGTCTCCGTAGTGTGTCGTGTGGATTCTGTGGTGTCTGCCAACAAAGAGGCCTGACAACTCCACGAGTCCTGTGGGCCCACGAGGGCCTCCTAGGGGTGGGTGGGGGAGGCGGGAGTGGGGGGCTAGGGGAGGCCAGGTGGGTAGGAGAGGCCAGGGGGGCCCCGGTCTGTGTTTCCTGCAGCCGTTCCTGGGAGGCATGCTTGGGGTCTGCCCACGCACCTTGGGCTGGATGAAGGCCATGAGGTCCCCGTGCAGGACGGGCTCCGTCAGGAAGCTGTAGGACTCTGCCGACTCGATGCCAATGCCGTAGGCTGTCACGATTGCCGAGTGCACGCCCAGCGAGAGGCCCACACAGAACTCATACAGGAAGCCACGGAGGGACGTGCGGGCTTTGGGGAGCTGCTTCAGTGCCAGGGGTGTGCCTGGGGCAGCAGGGAAAGTGTGGGAGGTGTGCGGGAGCCAAGGGCCACCTGGGCCAGCTGCCCTCTTCCCCTGTGGTCCTCCTTGATGGTCCCTCGGCTTGGACTCTTTCCCGTAGGCCAGCTCCACCCTCTCCAATTCCCACCTCCCTCCCGAGCCTGCCCTAACAGCGTGACCACCCAAGCATCACTGGTGGTGCCAATAGTTACAGCATGTTGTGGCCCGGCTGGTGTCTTGGGCCTGAGATCCCAGTGCTTTCAAAGACTGAGGTGGGAGGATCCCACGAGGACAGGAGTTTGAGACCAGCCCAGGTAACAGAGTGAGACCCCATCTCTAAAAAAAGTTTTAAAAAGCCGGGCACTGTGGCTCAGGCCTGTAATCCCAGCACTTTGGGAGGCTGAGGCCAGTGGATTGCTCGAGGTCAGGAGGCGGAGGTTGCAGTGAGCTGAGATCATGCCACTGCACTCCAGCCTGGGGGACAGAATTTTTGAAAAAATAAAAAATAATTAGCTGGATGTGGTGGCATCTCTTAAAAAAATAAAATAAATAATAACAGTACTTGGTGAATTTCTACCCTGCTTTCTTACCAGCCCTTAACCTTGGAGATGGAAGAATACAATGAGGTTTCTCTAGTGACCTGGGTTGCCTTCTCACGACAGCAAACTGGTGATTGAGGCAAAACAGTATTTCTGAGACATTTGGGAAAACGTGACCCACACTGGGTAGGAAAGCCAATTAAGGGACTGTGGATTTTGTCACCTGTGGAAATGACTTCCTAGAAGCTAAACTCTCTGAAGACAACTGATGTCTTTTCTTTTTTTTTTTTTTTAAGATGCAGTTTCACTCTTGTCACCCAGCCTGAAGTGCAGTGTCAAGATTTCAGCTCACTGCTACCTCTACCTCCCAGGTTCAATTGATTCTCCTGCCTCGGCCTCTGGAGCAGCTGGGATTACAGGCACCTGCCACCAAACCTGGCTCATTTTTGTATTTTTAGAAGAGATGGGCTTTTACCGTGTTGGTCAGGCTGGTCCTGAACTCCTGGCCTCAGATGATCCACCCATCTCCCAAAGCACTGGCATTGGAGCCATCATGCCCACTTTCTTTTTCTTTCTCTCTCTCCCTCTCTCTCTCTCTTTCTTCTGAGAAAGGGTCTCTTTCTGTCACCCAGGCTGGAGTGCGGTGGCACAATCATGGCTTACTGCAACCTCCGCCTCCCAGGCTCAAGCAATTCTGCTGCCTCAGCCTCCTGAGTAGCTGGGACTACAGGCACGCGCCACCGCACTGGGCCAGTTGCACACCCAGCTAACTGCTTTTTCTGACATCAGAAATTCCTGCTAATTGGCTAATTTAAAAAAAACTTGTGCAGACAGTCTTGCTGTGTTGCCCAGGCTGGTCTCAAACTCCTAGGCTGGAGCAGTCCTCAAAGTGCTGAGGTTACGGGTGTAAGCCACCACGCCCACTTCCATTTCTTTGATTTCTGAGCCATGAGCTGCCAGGCTGCAGCCCTGCCCATCACGAGGCTATGTGTGACTGGGCTGAAATCCCTCTTTATCCGCCAGGTGTGGTGGCTCACGCCTGTAATCCCAGCACTTTGGGAGGCTGAGGCAGGGGGATCAGGAAGTCGGAAGATCGAGACCATCCTAACGCAGTGAAACCCATCTCTGCTAAAAAATACAAAAAACTAGCTGGGCGTAGTGGCAGGCACCTGTAGTCCCAGCTACTCAGAAGGCTGAGGCAAGAGAATCACTTGAACCCAGGAGATGGAGGCTGCAGTGAGTCAAGATTGCATCACTGCACTCGCTCCAGCCTGGGTGACTCTGTCTCAAAAAAAAAAAAAAAAAAGCCCTCCTTATTAAACACACTCCCCAGCCAAATGCAGTGGGTCCTCTTCTGTGTGTTCACAGTACTCCCAATCACTGCTGCAAAGGCCACGCCACTGGTGTCAGTGATCCCCACCCATCTGTGCTCCCCACGTGCCCTGAGCCCAACGACAGTGACACGCTCAGGGCCCCAGCGTCACGAAGCCCCGGGACAGGCATGCTGGAGGCCTCGAGGTGCATGTTCGGGACATGCCTGTGGAGGGGGCCTCATTGACAACGCCCCCGCTCTGTGACTGCTCATGCCTCCAGCTCTGTGAGCACCCAGGGCTGCATCTCTGCGTGTGGCGCACTGCTGTGTGACTGTGTTATGACTGAGTCATGTTCCCCCGAAACTCGTATGTTAGAGTCCTGACCCCCCATCCTGCTGAATGTGCCTGTGTTTGGAGAATAGGGTGTTTAAAGAGGTAAAATGAGGTCACTAGAGTGAGTGGGCCTCATCCAGTGTGACTAGTGTCCTTATGAGAAGAGGACATCAGGACACAGACACGCACAGAGGGATGACCACGTGAGGACACAGGGAGAAGACAGTCAAGTGCAAGCCACAGAGGCCTCAGGAGAATTGACCCTGCTGACACCTTGATCTCAGGCTTCCAGCCTCCAGGGCTGTGAGGAAATAGAGCTCTGCTGTTGGCCAGGCACAGTGGCTCATGCCTGTAATCCCAGCACTTTGGGAGGCCAAGGCAGGAGGACCACTTGGGGCCGGTTTGAGACCAGCCTGGGCAACACAGTGAGACCCTACCTTTAAAAAAAATAAAAAAATTAACTGGACATGATGGCATGCACCTGTAGTCTCAGCTACTTGTGGGGCTGAGGTGGGAGGAGCACAGGAGGTCAAAGCTACAGTGAGCTATGATTGCACCACTGCACTCCAGCCTAGACAACAGAGTCAGGCGCGGTGACTCATGCCTGTAATCCCAGGACTTTGAGAGGTTGAGGCAGGGGGATCACTTGAGGTCAGGAGTTTGAGACCAGCCTGGTCAACCTGGTGAAACCTCATCTCTACTAAATATACGAACATTAGCTGCGCCTGTAATCCCAGCTACTCAGGAGGCTGAGGCAGGAGAATTGCTTGAACCCGAGAGGTGGAGGTTGCGGTGAGCCGAGTTGGTGCCACTGCACTCCAGCCTGGGTGACAGAGCAAGGCTGTCTCAAAAAAAAAAAAAAAAAAGGAAAAAGGAAAAAGTTCTGTTTCGGAAGCGCCCGCCTTTGTTCCGGCAGCCCCAGCAGATGAATGCATGCTCTTTCTGCATTGGCGCTCGGAGATTCTTGAAGGCAGGAACTGGCTGTGATTCAGTCATGGGTCCTTGCCCACCTGACCCCCCAGCACAGGGCTGGGCTCAGAAGGTGCACCCTGAACCCACTGACCTCAGCTCTCCTCCGTGTTTTCTGTTTCATGGAAGGACACAGGCTGTGTATGTGCTTGGCAGAAAGGTCTGGTGAGTAAGGAGCTGTCCTGCACACCCACTGTGTGCCGGCCTTGTTAAGTGCTTAGCACACAGCGTCACTGTGCATCATCCCTCAGTGACCACGACAGCCGCCACATGAGGCTCGTGAGCCGGGAGCTCTGTCTTACCAGCATTGTCCCCAGCAACCAGAGCAATCCACATACACTTAGAGGATCAACCATTCTTCCAAGAAATCGTTACCCACATTTCTCAAAGGAGGAAGCTGAGGCTCAGAGAGGTCAAGAAAGTTCCTCAAAACACACAGCTTTTGGCAGGGCACAGTGGCTCATGCCTATAATCATAATTGCAATATGGGAGGCCGAGGCAGGCAGACCACTGGAGGCCAGGAGTATGAGACCACCCTGGCCAATATAGCAAAACCCTATCTCTACTAAAAAAGAAAAATACACACACACAAAACTTTAGCTGGGTGTGGTAGTGCACACCTATCGTCCTAGCTAGCTGGGAGGCTGAGGCAGGAGGCTCACCTGAACCGATAGTGAGACTCTGTCTCAAAAAACTAACCACCAACCAAAGAAACAAAAATGACACAAAGCTTCGGAGGGCGGACCTAAGACTGGATTCTGGTCTACCAGCCCCCCAGCCTGGGCTATCCCAGGCCTGTGCCCCGCCCCCGCTGAACGCTGCCACCTCGTGCCCCACCGCCCAGTACCTTTCTGACGATGGGTGACCAGAAGAACTCGGCCGTAGCGACCCTGGCCCAGGGGACGCACCTCCTCGTAGAGCTCGTCCACCTCGGCCCGGACCAGGGTCTGAGCACTGAGCGTCATCATGTCCTCCAGAGCCAGAGCAGCCTCCTGGCCCTGCTGCAGTTCCTCCACGGTCAGGCCGCCCAGGCCCTCCTCCTCGCCGTCCTCTGAAGCCCCCACCTCCGCCGGCCCTTCCTCGGACTGTTTGCCAGGCATCTCTGCAAGGACAGAGAGGGGCACCCAGGCTCAGGTCCCAGACCCAAGGGAGGAGGAGACTGGGGATCTGGAGTCCTGGGTCTGAGGGAGGAGGAGACTGGGGATCTGGAGTCCTGGGTCTGAGGGAGGACGAGACTGGGGATCTGGAGTCCTGGGTCTGAGGGAGGAGGGGCTGGGGTCTGGACTCCTGGGTCTGAGAGAGGTGGAGCTGGGGACCTGGACTCCCAGGTCTGAGGAGGAGGGTCTGGGGACTCATTGCCCTTCTCATTGTGACTCAGTCTCCCTCTTGGTGAGAGGCGGGGAGACCAGTCTGTGCTGTGAGGTGAGTTCAAGCCCCAGTTCACAGATGTCCCTGCCCCCACATCCCTGCCCCGCCACCCTGAGGTTGAAAGATGAACCAGATAACTGAGACTCCCCCCATCTTGTTTCCAAAGCAAACAGACTTGGGCCCTGGGGGTGGATGAGTAGCCTCTGTCTCCTGAGAACGAACAGGTGCTCTGGGCCCAGGGCTGGGAGGGCGGCACTGCGCAGAGGGCTGGGGACGCCTGGGTCCTGCATGGGGCTGCGCAGAGGGCCTGGGACGCCTGGGTCCTGCCTGGGGCCGAGCACTTGGGATCAGTCCCCAAGCTCTGGACACGCCTGGGGTCCCACTTTCCCAGCCCAGCCGCCACCTCAGACCGGACCCCCAGCCTCTTCTCTGCCCGACTCAGGGGTCCAGGCCCCAGCCCACCCCTCTCCCAGAACCTTATACAACTCACACAATTGGGGACCCCCAGATTCTGCTTCCCTCACCCTCAACCATGCCACAGCCTCCAGGTGCAGCCTGGGCACCCCTGAGGGACCAAGGACGCAGGCCACCTGGCACAGTCACCCTCAGGTGCCACCCACCTCAGGCCAGGGTGCTCTGCCCGCCTCCAGACCTGGGCTCAGCCCTTCAGACCTCACCTCCTTCAAGGCCTGCCTGACCCTCCAGTGCCGGCTGTGGTCAGTGCCCGGCACTTAGGGCCCATGCCAGCAGAGGCCTGCCCAGGAGCAAGACCCGCCCCCACTTTGGGGGTCGTAAGGCCCCGCCCCCAGGCCCGCCCCTTCTGCCCCCACTGGGAGCAGAGCGACATCGTGCGATGACTCCTGGAACTAGCTGTGGTCAGGCAGATACCCTGACCCAAGAACTCAGCCCTCCTCCCTCAGACCCAGGAGTCCAGGCCTCCAGTTCCTCCTCCCTCAGACCCAGGGGTCCAGACCCTCAGCCCCTCCTCCCTCAGACCCAGGAGCCCAGGCCCTCAGCCCCTCCTCCCTCAGACCCAGGAGTCCAGATCCCCAGCCCCTCTTCCCTCAGACCCAGGAGTCCAGGCCTCCAGTTCCTCCTCCCTCAGACCCAGGGGTCCAGACCCTCAGCCCCTCCTCCCTCAGACCCAGGAGCCCAGGCCCTCAGCCCCTCCTCCTCCCTCAGACCCAGGAGTCCAGGCCCTCAGCCCCTCCTCCTCCCTCAGACCCAGGAGTCCAGGCCCTCAGCCCCTCCTCCCTCAGACCCAGGAGTCCAGGCCCTCAGCCCCTCCTCCTCCCTCAGACCCAGGAGTCCAGGCCCCGAGCCCCCAGTGTCACAGACCCAGGAGTCCAGGCCCCCAGCCCCCAGTGTCACAGACCCAGGAGTCCAGGCCCCCAGCCCCCAGTGTCACAGACCCAGGAGTCCAGGCCCCCAGCCCCCCGTCTCACAGACCCAGGAGTCCAGGCCCCCAGCCCCCAGTGTCACAGACCCAGGATTCCAGGCCCCCAGCCCCCAGTGTCACAGACCCAGGAGTCCAGGCCCTCAGCCCCTCCTCCTCCCTCAGACCCAGGAGTCCAGGCCCTCAGCCCCTCCTCCCTCAGACCCAGGAGTCCAGGCCTCCAGTTCCTTCTCCCTCAGACCCAGGGGTCCAGACCCTCAGCCCCTCCTCCCTCAGACCCAGGAGTCCAGGCCCTCAGCCCCTCCTCCTCCCTCAGACCCAGGAGTCCAGGCCCTCAGCCCCTCCTCCTCCCTCAGACCCAGGAGTCCAGGCCCCCAGCCCCCAGTGTCACAGACCCAGGAGTCCAGGCCCCCAGCCCCCAGTGTCACAGACCCAGGAGTCCAGGCCCCCAGCCCCCAGTGTCACAGACCCAGGAGTCCAGGCCCCCAGCCCCCAGTGTCACAGACCCAGGAGTCCAGGCCCCCAGCCCCCAGTGTCACAGACCCAGGAGTCCAGGCCCTCAGCCCCTCCTCCTCCCTCAGACCCAGGAGTCCAGGCCCTCAGCCCCTCCTCCCTCAGACCCAGGAGTCCAGGCCTCCAGTTCCTTCTCCCTCAGACCCAGGGGTCCAGACCCTAAGCCCCTCCTCCCTCAGACCCAGGAGTCCAGGCCCTCAGCCCCTCCTCCTCCCTCAGACCCAGGAGTCCAGGCCCTCAGCCCCTCCTCCTCCCTCAGACCCAGGAGTCCAGGCCCCCAGCCCCCAGTGTCACAGACCCAGGAGTCCAGGCCCCCAGCCCCCAGTGTCACAGACCCAGGAGTCCAGGCCCCCAGCCCCCAGTGTCACAGACCCAGGAGTTCAGGCGTTAGCTTCCCCCACCCATTTGAAGTTTTCGGGCACAGAACCGAGGCCTCCCCTGCCCCCCTCAAGGCCCCTCTCTTCCCAGTTGCTCCACCACCTGCTTCCCGCCCCCCTTAGTCTGAGGTCATCTCACACTGCATGATTCTGGAATCTCGTTGTCTCATTCTTTCCCCAAACAAGACCCCGGCATCTGATCCCCTGGACACCCCTCTCCAAACACTTGTGTCTGACCTGTCAATGGGGGATTGATGGGGCAGCTGGGTGGGGTCATCACAGGGGTGGGTTCCAGAAATGAGTTCATTTTCTACACGGGACCTGGACTCCTGGGCCTGAGGCAGGAGGGACTGGAGGCCTCCTCGTTCCAAAGAGAGGAATAACAATAAAAATAGTTTGAAAACACACAGTAGGACTACAGGCCAGAGAGCGCCTCCCTGCTGTAAACACAGGAAGATTAAGGCCCGCCCCGAAGCCCCCAAGCCTTGGGCTACGGTGGGACTTCACACCCCTGTTGTTTTTGAGATGGGTGTGCCCACCCTTCAGGATTTTAAAAATTTCTTTTCTTTTTTTTTTTTTGAGACAGCATCTCTCTCGGTCACCCAGGCTGGAGTGCAGTGGTGTGATCTCGGCTCACCGCAACCTCAGACTCCCTGGTTCAGGCAATTCTCCTGCCTCAGCCTCCCGAGTAGCTGGGATTACAGGTGTGCGCCACCATGCCCAGCTAAGTTTTGTATTTTTAGTAGAGACAGGGTTTCACCATGTTGGCCAGCCTGGTCTCGATCTCCTGACCTCGTGATCTCCCTGCCTCGACCTCCCAAAGTGCTGGGATTACAGGTGTCAGCCACTGCACCCGGCCTATTTTTACTTTTTGAGGCAGAGTCTCGCTCTGTTGCCCAGGCTGGAGTACAGTGGCATGATCTCAGCTTATGGCAATCTCTGCCTCCCGGGTTCAAGCGATTCTCCTGCCTCAGCCTCCCGAGTAGCTGGGATTACAGGTTCCCACCACCATGCCTGGCTAATTTTTATATTTTTAATAGAGACAAGGTTTTACCATGTTGGCCAGGCTGGCCTGGAACTCCTGACCTCAGGTGATCCACCTGCCTCAGCCTCCCAAAGTGCTGGGATCACAGACATGAGCCACCTTATCCGGCCTACCCTTCGAGTTTATAGTGCCATGACTGATGTGATGTCACTTAATTTTTTAAAATAAACGTTTTATTTTGGAATCATTTTAGATTCATAAAATGGTTGCTAAGCTCTGAGGAGACTTCCCGTGCACCCTCCCCAACCTCCCCCAGTGTCGGGTCGTGATGCAAACCGTGAGACATTTGTCAAAACGAAGAGGCTCACAGTTGGGCCAACACCAGACTGTTATTTCACCAGCGCTTCCACGACGGCTGGAACCCAGGATGCCATGTCGCCTGTCACGAGCTCACTTTTCAGTCTAGAAGCATAAATTCCTGTATAGCAAATGCAGTCTCCAGTTCCTGACCCTCCGCTGGGTGCGGGGACATGAATTTGGATCTAATTTGTCCCTGTCTCACAGGCATGAACCTCCACAAGCTGGGCTCTGTGTCTGGTCCGGGAGGTGGCATGGGACTGAGCGGGACGCAGACTGGCCCTGGTGAGATAGGAGACCCATTGGCACCAGGCCTGGCTCTTAGGATTGACGGGTTTGAGATGGGCGGATGGAGCTGGGACAATCACAATCCGTGGTGCTCTGTGGGAGCAGAACCCGGAATGATCTAAATGTGGAAAAGACCAGGTCCAGCCTGAACAGTCAGAGAAGAGGGACAGAAAGAGACACGGATCCTTCCCATACAAGTTCCCAGGAGGCCAGAGAGGGCTTGGGGCAGGGGGCACTTCCTGGAGCCACAGGACTGGGAGGAAGATGCTCTCAGGGGAGGGAACAGTGTGCCAGTGTCTGCCAGCAGCTGTGTGTGCGTCTGTGCACCGGTGTGTGTATGTGTGTGTGCATGTTTGTGTGTGTGTGTGTGTGTGTGCATGTATGTGGGTGCGTGTGTGTGTGTGTGTGTGTGTGCACTCATGTGTGCATGTGTAGATTTAGGTCCAGAGCAGAGGAGTGACCACCATGATGTCACCCAGAGAAGTGACAGGGGTGGAAAGTGAGGTTTACATGGTGTCGGATCCTAAAGGTCAGATCTCGTGACATGGACAGCAGGAGCCACCCAAGGTCTTAGAGGAGAGGAGTGATCCCATCAGAACTCCATGATGGCCAGGTGCGGTGGCCCACACCTGTTATCCCAGCACTCTGGGAGGTCGAGGCAGGCAGATCACCTGAGGTCAGGATCTCAAGACCAGCCTGGCCAACATGGTGAAACCCCATCTCTACTAAAAATACAAAATTAGCTGGGTGCAGTGGCCCATGCCTGTAATCCCAGCACTTTGGGAGACCAAGACGGCAAGATTACCTAAAGTCAGCAGTTCGAGACCACCCTGGCCAACATAGTGAGACCCCTGTCTCTACTAAAAATATAAAAATTAGCCAGGTGTGGTGGTGCACGTGTAGTCCCAGCTACTCAGGAGGCTGAGGCAGGAGAATCGCTTGAACCTGGGAGGCAGAGGTTGCAGTGAGCCGAGATCACACCACTGCACTCCAGCCTGGGAGACAGAGTGAGACTCCTTCTCAGAAAGAAGAAGTAAAGAAAGAAAAAAAGAAAAGAAAAGAAAAGAAGAAAAGAAAAAGAAAAGAAAAGAAAAAGAACCCCACGATACCCATTCAGCATGTCCTGTGAATACAAAAACACACAAGGGGAGGGTGGTGAGGTGGGGGGGGGGGACCAGCGCCTTCTTCCTTCAAGAAGACATACTCAGGACAGAAGGAAAAGGAGGTGTTCTCGAGGGGGAGGGCTGGGAGCCCGGACCCTGGGTCTGAGAGAGGAGGAGCAGGAGCTGGACTCCTGAGTCCCCAGTTGGAAGAGGGGTGGTACAGCCAAGCCCAGTGTCCCACAGGGAGAGTGCAGCCTGTTCCTCTCTGTCCTCCTGGCTGCAGCTGTCTCTCCATCCAGGTGGCCCTAGGGGCTGGGGGAAGGGCCTTTGGCCCAGGCTCTGGCCACCTGTCCCTGTCACCTGGTCAGGGAGCTCCCCGATCTGTCCCCGTTCTCCCGCTACTTTTGTCATTATCGTCCTCATCTGTCCACTCCTCCAGGCTTGAGCCTCCCTCCTCCCCATCCTTATAGGACACGCTTCCCAAAACCCCAGGCCCCTCTCTGTTCCCCTGCAACCCCCAGTCGTCCCCCAAGAAGTCCAGGACAGCCAACGGGGAGCTCCTTGTCTCGGGATCCAGGTCCAGAAGCCCCTGGAGCAAGGCCAGGGCTGGGGGCGCAAACTGGTCCCAGGGTGGTGGTGGCTGAGGTGGCTGAGGCCTGGTGGTCACCCAGCCAGCAAAGGCCTCGAACTCAGGATCGGGGGCCAGTGCCACATCCCAAGGGAAACAGGCAGTGGCAGCACAGAAGAGAAGCACCCCCAGGCCCCAGGAGTCCACCGCTGGCCGCAGAGGCAGGGTGTCGGGTGGTAGCAGGAGGCAGAGCTCGGGTGGTGCTGTGGGCAGAGGTGCTGGAGGGGCAGGGGTCGGGCTGCCCTCTGGCCGGGTCAGACCCAGGTCCCCCAGGGCCACATGGCTGCAGACCGGGTCGAAGACCATCACGTTGTCCGGCTTGACGTCTGCATGGACCAGGCCCCGGCTGTGGAGGAAGTCCAGAGCTCCTGCCAGCTGGGCCACCACCCGCTTCACCAGCAGCTCTGGGAGGCCCTGCAGTCAAGAAGACAGGAGGAAGGTCAGAGTGTCTGGGTTCTGTCCTCTGTATGTTGTCCAGGCTGGTCTCAAACTCCTGGCCTCAAGTGATCCTCCTGCCTTGGCCTCCCAAAGTGCTGGGTTTACAGGCAGGAGCCACCGCACCCGTTTTCCTCTTAACCATTCTTGGAAGAGTTCTAGACTCCTAAGTCCTAAGAGTTTGACTCTTGGGGTTTGAGAATCTAGAACCCAAGATTAGTGGCTACCTCCAGTGTCCCCACCGCACGCCCCAGACACTCTCTCTCCATCCTTCTCAACCTCAACCTGCAGCCATGGCTGCACTTCCGGAGACCGACTCCCAGCTGGCCTCCCAGTTTTCCCCACTGGAACCCCAGTTGTTACCAGAGCTCCTTCTTTTAGCTTCTTTCAAAGATTCTCCTAACTCGAATATTATGAACCGGTATGTTAGATTCGGCCACTATGAACATTTCTTATACATCTTTTGTAAACTGACCATCCGGATCTTCTCCAGTGAGAACTCAAATTTCATTCTTAACCCAAATCTTAGCCTTATACTAGTCTAGACCCCATCTCTAACTCAGAGTCTGTTCTAAAATCTCCCAGTTCATTTCATCGATTATCTATCCATCTAGCCATCCAGCTGGCCAGGCAGCAATCCATCCATGAAGCCATCCATCCTAATGGTATTCAAATATGTGTCCATTCAGCATTCATTCCACCAGCCAGTCAGCAATCCAGTAAGTTATTCAATTATTATCCAACATCCATATATTCATTCTCCTTTGCTTCCTTTCATTCATCCATTCATCATCCACTCATCCATCTACCAATCCTTCCATCCACCCACCCACCCACTCATTCATCTATCCACTTACCCACCAAACCTTTCATCCATCCATCCATCCATCCACCAATCCTTCCTTCCATCCACCCATCCATCCATTCACCAACCCATCCATCTACCAGTCCTTCTTTCCACCCATCTATTCACCCATCCATCCACCCACCCACCCATCCACTCATTCATCTGTCCACTCACCCACCAAACCTTTCATCCATCTATCCATGCATCCAACCATCCATCCACCAATCCTTCCTTCCATTCACCCACCAATGCTTCCATCCACCCACCCACCCACCCATCCACTTATCCATCCATCCACTCACCCACCCACCAAACCATCCAACCACCAATCCATCCATCCATCCATCCATCCATCCATCCGTCCATCCATCCATTCACCAACCCATCCATCTACCAATCCTTCCTTCCACCCGTCTATTCACCCATCCATCTATCCACTCACCCATCCTTCCATCCTTCCATTCATTCATCCACATAAACCTTCCTCATCCCCTTCCTTCCTTTGTTCCTTCCATTTATCCTCAACTTTATCTCAAATCCAAAATCTATTCCTAAAACGATCCCTACCCCAAATCTCCAAACTCAAGAGGCCCTAGAAACTCAAGGGACCTGTCCTGACCTGGTCTCCTTTCAAGCCCATCTCATACACATCCTCAGCCATCTCTGCTTCCCTCTGCAGCCCTATTCATGCTTTTCTCCATAGCCATGATCAATCTGTAATCAACCCTAAACTCAACCCACCCACCTCCGCCCATGCCCATGCCCCTATCCCCAGTGTCAACTGAAATCCCAACCCTGTCTCCATCCCCACCTGCGCCACTGACCTCGGTCATCCTCGGCCCCAGCCCAGCTCCCTGCCCTTCCACGCTTGTGTTTGGGTAATTTGGTCGGATCAGGGTTGAGGTCGTACAGAAAACCTCACTGAGAATTACAAAGGGGGAGGTCATTTGGGGGGTCAGGGTGGAGCCAGGGGTTGGGCGGGCCCCGATCTGGGGGCCAGAGTTGGACCTGGGATAAGTGCTCCCAACCTTTGTCCCTTGTGGTCTCACCCTTTCCTGCAGCATCCCGCTGAGATCCCCACAGGGTGCATACTCCTGCGCGAAAGCAAAATAGCGGGGGGTCTGCAGGGGTCCCGCCAGCGTCTGCAGCAGGCCTGGGTGCGCAGAGACGCAGCGGCCCACACAGAACTCCCTCAGGAAGGTGCTTCTCAGGACCGAGTCCCGACGCAGGAGCTTCAAAGCCACAGCCGGGCCTGCCGGGAAGATGGTCGGAAGGGACGCTCAGGTGACTCTGCTCCTGCGGTGGGACCTGAGCCAGCGCATAACCTCGCTGAGCCTCACCCTTCTTATGGGCAGCATGGGTTCCCCCGCTGTGAGGTGTGGGTGGGAGACCCTCCCTGCTCTGCCTCGGACTGTGGTGTGGGTTGGCACAACGGCCTCACCCTCTCCGGGCCTCAGCTTCCCCTTGCATCCACTAAGATACGTGGTGGTGACTTGGATTCCAACCTGGGTTGCCTGCCTGTCTTGCTGTGGGACCGTAGGCAGCCCCCCACCCTCTCTGGGGGCCTGTATTTCTCAGAAGATCACAGAGCTCGTAACTTTCAGAAGGTCCCCATGGAGAAGGGTCCCCCGTCAGCTCCTCCTGGGAATGCTCCCCGTGGGGGTGGCTTCCGAGAACACTTATTGTGGGGCAGTAGGGGAGGCTGCCATTGGGTGGCCGAACTCACCCCCCTGGTGAGGCTGGGCGAGGAGCACACGGCCGTAGGAGCCGGAGCCCAGCTTCCGGATGAGGTGGTACTGGTCCCGGAGGCTCCTCACTGGGGTCACCCTGCTGGCCGTCAGCTCCACCAGCCGCTGGAGGGCTGTGGCTGTGTCCTCCTATGGGAGACGGGCAGGGTGAGGCGGGGGCGAGTCTGGGGTCTGCTGAGAGTGGCAGGGAAGGAGGTCGAGCCCAGCCCGGGATGGGGGTGGAGCAGGGGACAGGGGTCACTGTCCCCAGAGAGGAGGATGAGTCACAGTGACTCACCCAGGCTCAGGCCACCTGTTTCTGTGTCCTGGTGAGGTTAGGGGTCATTGTCTCAGAGGCCCTGCCTGCCCCTGCCTGCGGGAGCCCCCAGCCCCGAGTGTGGCTGCATCCTCAGCTCCCCCACCCACCCACCCAGCCTCTCTCCGCCACCCTCTCCCCCGCACCCGCTGCCCTATGTCTCTGAGTCCTTTTCTCTGGGGTCCTCGCTGTGTCCTCAGGTCTCTGTCATCCTCTCTCCCTGGCTCTGGGTTTCTGAGTCTGTGTCTCCCTGTTTTCTGCATCTCCTCTTTCTCCCCGTGTGGCCTCCTGCCTCTCTCCCCTCCTCTTCTCCCTCTGTCTTCCTCCCTCTTCCCCATCTCTCACCTCTGGGTCCCCATCCTCAGGGGTCTCGGAGGCCCTGCGCTCCATGTCAGGGCTGCCTGGGGTGAGGTGGCCCTTGGGCAGGCCCCCCGGGTCAGGGTTCCCCAGAGAGCAACCAGCCCCCTGCACCCCACAGGTTCTTGCTGCGCAGAGCCAGGGGCTGGAAGGTCGGCCTCAGCCCCCCTGTCTGTCCCGGCCTGTCTAGCTGGAGGAGTGTCTCTGCCTCTGTGCGCCCTCCTGCCACGCTCTGGGAGTATTCCTCGCTGCTGCCCAGGTGATCGCCCTGCTGCCCCGCCCTCTCTGCCCTGTCTCCAGCCAGCCTCAGGCTGTCCTTCCTTCTGCACCAGCACCTTCTCTCAGCCTGTCTCCTGCTCCCTCTGTCTTGTCTCTCTTCGTGTGTCTGTCTCCTTCTCTCCCAGTCCTCTCTGTCTCCCCCCACTCCCTGTCTCTCTGTTGCCTTTGGATCTCTGGGGTGGGATTCCTTCTCCCTGCCCTGTCTCTGTGGGTCACTGGCCCCTCTCCCCTGTCCCCACACTGGGCCACCCTTCTGTCACCAACTCTGGGGGTGTCCCCACAGTCTGCTCCCCTCTCTATGTCTGTCTGGGTCCCATCTCTCCGGTCCCTCTGGGCATCTCCACCCGCTCTCCCCAGTGTCTCTGTGTCTCTCTCTGCCTCTTTGTTCCCGACTCTCTCTCAAAGCCTTTGTCCCTCCCTTTCTCTGGGCCCGGGACAGGGGTGTGTGTGACAGCTCAGAGACAGAGACATCCTGTCCCCCCACACCCCTCCCTCACCCCCTCTCTCCGCTGCCCCCTCCCTCTCCCTTCCAAACTTAGACCGGCTTGGACTCTGGGCTCTGGTCCCAGGACAGAGGGGACAAAACATATTGTGAACCCCCAACAAGGTCCCTGCCGGAGGAGACGGTGGGCCAGGCCCTCCATACACCTGAGCTGGGGTGACCGGCCCAGAGCTGAGCACTCGCTCTTGCCCCAGAGGCCAGGAGTGCTGCTGTCCAGGGACCAGGCAGCAGTTCCCAAAGCCCTCCTCCTTCACACCAGGAGTCCTGGCCTCAGCACCTCCTCCTTCACACCCAGGAATCCAGGCCCAGCTCCTCCTCCCTCAGACCCAGGAGTCCAGGACCCAGCCCCTCCTCCCTCAGACACAGGAGTCCAGGCCCAGCTCCTCCTCCCTCAGATCCAGGAGTCCAGGCCCCTGACCCTCCTCCCTCAGACCCAGGAGACCAGGACCCAGCCCCTCCTCCCTCAGACACAGGAGTCCAGGCCCAGCTCCTCCTCCCTCAGATCCAGGAGTCCAGGCCCCTGACCCTCCTCCCTCAGACCCAGGAGTCCAGACCCCAGCCCCTCCTCCCTCAGACCCAGAAGTCCAGACCCCAGCCCCTCCTCCCTCAGACCCAGGAGTCCAGGCCCCAGCCCCTCCTCCCTCAGACCCAGGAATCCAGGTCCCCAGGCCCTCCTTCCTCAGACCCAGGAGTCCAGACCCCAGCCTCTCCTCCCTCAGACCCAGGAGTCCAGACCCCAGCCCCTCCACCCTCAGACCCAGGAGTCCAGGCCCCCAGCCCCTCTTCCCTCAGACCCAGGAGCCCAGGCCCCCAGCTCCTCTTCCCTCAGACCCAGGGGTCCAGGCCCAGCCCCTCCTCCCTCAGACCCAGGGGTCCAGACCCCAGCCCCTCCTCCCTCAGACCCAGGACTCCAGACCCCAGCCCCGCCTCCCTGAGACCCAGGAGTCCAGACCCCAGCCCCTCCTGCCTCAGACCCAGGGGTCCAGGCCCCAGCCCCTCCTCCCTCAGACCCAGGAGTCCGGACCCCAGCCCCTCCTGCCTCAGACCCAGGGGTCCAGGCCCCAGCCCCTCCCTCAGACCCAGGGGTCCAGACCCCAGGCCCTCCTTCCTCAGACCCAGGAGTCCAGACCCCAGCCCCGCCTCCCTCAGACCCAGGAGTCCAGACCCCAGCCCCTCCTGCCTCAGACCCAGGAGTCCAGACCCCAGCCCCGCCTCCCTCAGACCCAGGAGTCCAGACCCCAGCCCCTCCTGCCTCAGACCCAGGAGTCCAGACCCCAGCCCCTCCTCCCTCAGACCCAGGGGTCCAGGCCCCAGCCCCTTCCTGAGACCCAGGGGCTGCAGTAGTTGTGGGGTGCACCCAGGGCCCGGGCGCTGCCATGTGCTCTGCACCTAGCCTTGTGCAGGGCTTTGCAGTGGATCCTCCCAGCTGCCCAAAGGCTCAGTATTTATCCCCAGTGTACGGAGCAGGAAACTGAGGTTCCGAGAAGCGATGGTGTTAGCCAAGGTCAGAAGGGCAGCGGGCCCCGGGCCAGGCCTGTGTGACTCAGAGGCCTGCTGCCTGCCCCACTCGTGTTTCCACTACTACTACAGCCCTGCTATTAATAAAGTCAGCAACGGCCGCGACGCAGAGGCTCTGGAAGGATCCCCGGGAAACCGGCTGTGGCGCTGGACGTTGGGGACCTGGATGGGGCCCAAGGGGGGCAGAGGCAGAACTTCCTTCGCTGTTTGACTGTTGTGAGGTTACCTTGGGAAAAGTCACAGACCTACGGAAAAGCAGAAAACGCGCTGTCACACACACCCACGGTCTAGACTTCACAGACGTGCCTATTTGACCATGATTTCTTGATCTGTATTTCTTTGTTGGAGGACATACAAATCAGTTTAAAGTAAATGATAGATACCAAAGTCTTTTGGAGGTGGAAATGCTGAGCTGCCCGGTGTGTTTGCTTTAAAATAATCTGGCAAAAGAAAAGAAAATGTGTGTGTGTGTGTGTGTGTGTGTGGGCTGTGTGTGTAGGGGTTGTGTGTGTGTAGGGGTTGTGTGTTTAGGGTGTGCGTGTGTAGGGGTTGTGTGTTTAGGGTGTGTGTGTGTAGGGTGTGTGTATAGGGTGAGTGTGTAGGGTGTGTGTGTGTAGGCTGTGTGTAGGGGGTATGAGTGTGTAGGGTGTGTGTATAGGGGTTGTGTGTATAAGAGTGTGTGTAGGGTGTGTGTATAGGGTGTGTGTAGGGTGTATGTGTAGGGTGTGTGTGTCGGGGGTGAGTGTGTAGGGGTGTGTGTGTAGGGTGTGTGTGTGTAGGGTGTGTGTGTAGGATGTGTGTGTAGGATGTGTGTGTCGGGGGTGAGTGTGTAGGGTGTGTGTGTGTAGGGTGTGTGTGTGTAGGGTGTGTGTCGGGGGTGTGTATAGGGGTGTGTGTGTAGGGGTGTGTGTGTAGGCTGTGTGTGTGTAGGGTGTGTGTATGTAGGGGGTGTGTGGGGTGTGTGTATAGGGTGAGTGTGTAGAGTGTGTGTGTGCAGGGTGTGTGTCGGGGGTGAGTGTGTAGGGGGTGTGTGTGTGTACGGGGTGTGTGTAGCCGGTGTGTGTGTAGGGGGTGTGTGTGTAGGGGTGTGTGTGTAGGGTGTGTGTAGGGGTGTGTGTATAGGATGAGTGTGTAGGGTGTGTGTGTGCAGGGTGTGTGTCGGGGGTGTGTAGGGGGTGTGTGTAGGGTGTGTGTGTAGGGTGTGTGTGTCAGGGGTGTGTGTGTAGGGTGTGTGTAGGGTGTGTGTGTAGGGTGTGTATAGGGTGTGTGTGTAGGGTGTGTGTGTAGGGGGTGTATAGGGGGTGTGTGTAGGGTGTGTGTGTAGGGTGTGTGTGTCAGGGGTGAGTGTGTAGGGGGTGTGTGTAGGGTGTGTGTGTAGGGTGTGTGTGTCGGGGGTGAGTGTGTAGGGGGTGTGTGTAGGGTGTGTGTGTGTAGGGTGTGTGTGTAGGGGGTGTGTGTGTAGGGTGTGTGTTGGGGGTGAGTGTAGGGGGTGTGTGTAGGGTGTGTGTGTAGGGGGTGTGTGTGTAGGGTGTGTGTGTTGGGGGTGAGTGTAGGGGGTGTGTGTAGGGTGTGTGTGTCGGGGGTGAGTGTGTAGGGGGTGTGTGTAGGGTGTGTGTGTAGGGTGTGTGTGTCGGGGGTGAGTGTGTAGGGGGTGTGTGTAGGGTGTGTGTAGGGTATGTGTGTAGGGGGTGTGTGTGTAGGGTGTGTGTGTTGGGGGTGAGTGTAGGGGGTGTGTGTAGGGTGTGTAGGGGGTGTGTGTGTAGGCTGTGTGTGTGTAGGAGGTGTGTGTGTAGGATGTGTGAGTGTGTAGGGTGTGTGTGTAGGGTGTGTGTGTTGGGGGTGAGTGTAGGGTGTGTGTGTAGGGTGTGTGTGTAGGCTGTGTGTGTGTAGGAGGTGTGTGTGTAGGATGTGTGAGTGTGTAGGGTGTGTGTGTTGGGGGTGAGTGTAGGGGGTGTGTGTAGGGTGTGTGTGTAGGCTGTGTGTGTGTAGGAGGTGTGAGTGTAGGATGTGTGAGTGTGTAGGGTGTGTGTGGGGGGGTGAGACAGTGAGAAGGAAGGGACTCGTTTTATTCCTCTGTTTTTGGTTACGCCAGCAATTTTCCTTCATAAAAAGCTACAGGTTATCCGCAACCCTACAGGCATCAGGATACATTGTGCCCAACCACTTGGGGGTACCGGCCTATAAAAGTAAGGAAATTTTCTGGTTCAACTACA